TGCTCTCCAGAGTTGTAATCCTGTAACCAAACTTGGAAGCAGGGGATACTCTATATAAATTCTATTCTAACTCTTTTCTGAAATGACTTCTAACTTTTTAGGGCCACCAATGTTGGTGATAAGTTTTTAACCTCCGAAACCATACAGAGTGCGTTCCTGTCGCTTCAGAGCGTAGACGACATCCATGGCCGTGACGATTTTCCGCTTGGCGTGTTCAGTACAAGTGACGGCATCACGGATCATAATTTCCAGGAACACCTTCAGCACACCTCGGGTTTCCTCGTAGATCAGATCGGAGATAGGTACGCTTGACACCACCACGTCGAGCCAGACGACGGATGGCAGGCCCTGGATGTTATCACGCAGAATTTCCTAATATCGACAAAGCTGCATCATCATGACTGTATGTAGCCAATGGAAAGCGAGAGAATATGGTACCGGCTGAGCTGGTTGTCTATATAGCAGGTTGCTAACTACGCTTTTGGCTTAGTTTCGATTCACCCGTTCAACGACAAACATCAAGCGACAATAATGGTTGGTCGTGGTAAGGGAGGCAAAGGTCTTGGAAAAGAAGGCGCCAAGCGCCATCGGAAGGTTCTGCGTAATAACATCCACACAGTTCGAAAAAGTAGTGTAAATTTCTGTTCAATATGATGCACATAAATGGAGCGTCACATATCATACAAGTCTACATTATATATCATGTAAAGTTCTGGCACATTTCATGCAATGTAGCAAATATTGTATACAAAAGCTCATCTTTGTAAACAACATTGTTTACAAGTTGCTCGGTTGCGTGAAATGAAATACAAGTTTACGTGGATGAATGTTTACATCACAATTAAAATTCAGAATTTTTATCTGTGCAGGATATTACCAAGCCTGCTATCCGTCTTCTGGCTCGACGTGGTGGTGTCAAGCGTATTTTCGGTCTGATCTACGAAGAAACCCGAGGTGTGCTGAAGGTGAAAAAAATCCGTGATGCCGTCACCTACACTGAACACGCCAAGCGCAAAACCGTCCCGGCCATGGATGTCGTCTACACTCTGAAGCGACAGGGATGAGCAGTTCTAAAAAACCACAGAGTGCTTAGATCAGTTTTCCTGACCTATCCACTTTAACGGATGTTCCGAATATTCTGGAGGACCATCCAATGGACCCTGTGGTCCATTTTCCAGTAACAACTCTGAGTTCATTCTGATGAGTTGTTTATTATTTTCCAGAGGAGCGTTTATGATCTCTAGGGTCTATTTTCCGATCATAACTCCGAATTCAAAATCGGCTTGCTTTAAATGTTGTTTAAACGTTGATCACCAATAAAAATATAAAAAAAAGATTTTCTGCGGGCCCACTCTAACCTACTCGTTTAAAATAACCATAAGTCATGAACCATAAGAGATACAAATTTGATGCAGTGAGCAAAGTTGGTTCAAATTTATTGTTCTACAACTTTTCAAAACACTGCATTAGTCTATCTCAAGTAATTAAAAGAGGTTGAATTTTCAATTCACCAATTTTAAGGACCACCTTAATTTCCAATCGGCTAAACAATACGAAGAAACTTTCCCCAAGACACCATATACCTAAAAGTGATGGTTTTGACGCTAATATTTTTGACTTCATAAATACGGCTTTGGAACCATTGAGCATTGTTCCCAGGGTCAATTTTCTGGTCATAACTTCAAAATAATTCTGATAAGACGCCAATGAGTGCTTTCGAAAAAAGCGGTTAGAGGTCCGCTCAGTTTCAAGAACTGATTTTTTTATGGATGTTCAGGATCTTCCTGGTGAACCATCTCGTGGTCCCAAAGGTCCATTTTCCGTCTAAGCATTCATATTCCAGTCACAACTCCAAATTCATTTTGATAAAACGTTTATGAGTGGTTTCGCAAACTCATGGAGCTCTAGGATCAGTCTCATGAATTGACAACTTTTGCGGGTGTTCCAGATCTTTTGGTGGACCATCCTGTAGTCCGCAGAGTCCAAATTCTAGTCAAAACTCCGAATTAATTGTAACGTCTATGAAAGGTTTCGAAAAAAAACATGGAGCTCTTGGATCAGTTTCATGAATTGACCACTTTTACACGGATGTTCCGGATCTTCTATTGAACCATCCTGTGGTCCGCAGGGTCAATATTCATGTCACAACTCTGAATTCATTCTGATAAGACGTATATGAGTGTTTTCGGAAAATTCACGAAGCTCTAGGATCAGTCTCATGAATTAACCACTTTTCAGGATGTTTCGGATCTTCCGGTGAACCATCCCATGGTCTCCAGATTAAATTTTCCGAACACAACTCCGAATTTATTGTGATAAGACGTTTAGCAGTGGTTTCAAAAAATCTGCAGAGCTACAGGATCAGGATCAGCGATGAACCATCCGGTAGTCCCCAGGGCCCATATTCCAGTCACAACTCCGAATTCTTTCTGATAAGATGTCTATGAGTGGTTTCAAAAAAACCGCGTAGCTCTAGGATCAGTTTCATGAATTGACCACTTTTCAGGATGTTTCGGATCTTCCGATGAACCAGCCTGTGGTCCCCAGGGCCAATATTTCAGTCACAACTCCGAATTCATTCTGTTAAGACGTTTATGATTGGTTTCGAAAAATCCGCGGAGCTCTAAGATCAGTTTCATGAATTGACAACTTTTACGGATGTTTCGGATCTTCCGGTGAAACATCCTGTGGTCCCCAGGGCCCATATTCCGGTCACAATTCCGAATTCATTCTGATAAGACGTTTATGAGTGGTTTCGAAAAATCCGCGGAGCTCTAGGATCAGTTTCATGAATTGACCACTTTTACGGATGTTTCGGATCTTCCGGTGAAACATCCCGTAGTCCCCAGGGCCCATATTCCGGTCACAATTCCGAATTCTTTCTGATAAAACGTTTATGAGTGGTTTCGAAAAATCCGCGGAGCACTAGGATCAGTTTCATGAATTGACCACTTTTACGGATGTTTCGGATCTTCCGGTGAAACATCCTGTGGTCCCCAGGGCCCATATTCCGGTCACAATTCCGAATTCTTTCTGATAAGACGTTTATGAGTGGTTTCGAAAAATCTGCGGAGCTCTAGGATCAGTTTCATGAATTGGCCACTTTTACGGATATTCCGGATCTTCCACAGGATCAGACTTATGTCCTACCGGAAATTAAATCATCCCAAAAGATGGCCAACTTTCTGCTTAACAACTTCTCAAAAGACATCAGGAAGTTATCTCTTCAAATTGCCGTACAATCAGTGTTTGGTCCCAATTAGCTCTAATCCCACGTGTATTCGTTAATGCCGGATCGACCGTACTACAGGAATCCAGTGGCATCAGTACTATAGGAATCCGGCAAGAACGAATCCGCACTATAGGAATCTTGACTGTAACCTTTCTGCAGTTTTTCACTACTTTCTGAACAGCACTATTGTAAAACGGTCTACACTGATTGACGACAAATAAGCTGAAATGAGTGCTTTCCGAATCGATTATGAACATTCTGAAGCGATTCCGTATTTCCAAAGTGATTCCGAACGTTTCTGAAGTGATTCAGTGCATTCCTAACTAATTCAATTATTTTCGAAGTGATTCCGATCTTGCGGAAATGACTACAGACTTTCTGGGATAATTCAGTATATTCTAATATGAATCCGAAATTTTCTGAAGTGATTCAATATTATCCGAAGAGATTTAGAGCTTAAAGTGATTCAATACTTAAAGAAGTGATTCAGTGCTTTCTGGAATAATTCAGTACTTTCCAAAGTGATCATGAACTTTTCCAAAGTGATTCCAAACATTCCTGAGGATTCAGTGCATTCCTAAGTGATTCAATTATTTTCCAAGTGAACTTTTCTCAATGCTTCAGTACTTTCCGAAGTGATTTAGAATATTTATTAAGTGTTTCCGGTCTTTTCTGAAGTTATACGGTACTTTGTGAAGTGACTCTTAACATTTCTGAAGTGATTCAGAACATTCAGAAGTGATTCCGAACCTTTCTAAATTGATATTATACATTCCTAAGTGATTCAGTAGTTTCAGAAGTGATTGAAAACATTTCTGAAGTGATTCAGCACTTCCGCTGTGAGTCCAAACTTTTCTGAAGCGATTCAACACTTTATGAAGTGATTTCGAACTTTTCATAAGTTATTCAGTGCTCTCCGAAATGATTCAGTACTTTCCGAAGTGATTCCTAATTTTCATGAAGTGATTCAGTGCTTTTCTAAGTAATTCCAAGCTATTCTCAAGTGATTTCTGTCCCATACCTCACCGTGAAATAATTTTGAAATGTTTGACATGGGTATTGAATTTCATGGAACATGTTTAGTTTCTCGTTGAGCGAGGACCAAAGCTAGTAGGTTTTTATTTGGTTTTCGTATACTACTGGAATGAAAGCAACTTAATTTCAAGTTCTACTGTTAATCATTCAAAGAAATATTTAGAAATTAGTCTGGACTATAGACACTCGCCAAACCCAACTAAAGGATCTACATATGTATATGCTTATCTCATCCCGAGCCTAATGTATCGCTTTTTAAAGTTCAATTTTGAAACGCACGTGTGAATCATTCCAATCTGTAACAAATAACAAACATGATTTAGCATACTTTTGTATCGCTCCATCTCCATTTACAGCTACCACAAATAACTCCAGTAAGTAATCTGGGCTACCAGCAACGATGATTATTGCTAAGCGCGTGTTCCAACTGCTATCAAGAGTAACTTCAGATTTTCATCATTCGCGTGTCCTTTCCACCCACACAGCACGTGTGCAGCGAAATTGCGCTTTTAAAAGCGATGCATTATCATCGGGATGATAAAACTAGATGCCGAGCTGGAAAACGTTGCATGGTCATAAAAATATCCAACACAAATTTCGTGCACCGCTCAGATGAAGACGTGTTTCGCTTGCTTTCCTGCCATCTTGTTCCTTCAACACTGTTCAGGAAACAATCCAAACAATGTTCTGTCAACATTCTTATGCAAAGTCGTTCAATCGAAACCAACTGCAGTTATTGGCATCGTCATCTTCGAACCGGCGCCTTCTACCATCCACGTAGAGAACTTACTGTACAACCTTGGCTATGCCGCCAGCACGATCATTGTAACCGAGCCGGACATGAGTCCAGCTTATGCTTCACTTCGGAAGCCAACCGTACATCTAATCGTGGTGAAAGCGTTACTGCAACTGTTGGAGTTCCGTGACGTATGGATGCACAGTCAAACCGAATACTGGAACCAGGATGCCCAATTTGTAGTGCTGTACGATGTCGGCAGTGACGTGGCAGTTGAACTCATTGGACACAGGTTTGGAAAGATTGGAATTGCGGATGTGATCTTCATCGGACTGAGCCCCGTCACAGGAGATCTAGACACAATTCGCACCTACCTACTGTACGAACGAAAGGTTGTTACGCACAGTGAGACCGATCCGTTGGAGCAAATTATCAGTAATCAATTCACAAACATGCACGGTCATCAGTACCGCATAGGACACGATCCCAACAGTAACATTTGGACTACGTCAGAAAATGAAAAATTTATTGGTTTTCCAGAATCGGAGGTGGATCTGTTTTGTAGACATCAGAATGCAACATACCGAATTGTAATCGTACCCAAAATTAATGAACATGTTGGCAAATTGATGCAAACCGATCAGATCGATTTCACTCTGGAACCGTTCCATTTGCATAGCTTTGAGAAATTTCGGTACCATTCGCTTCATGTCGAACTTGGCGGACTGTGTGTTGTGATCAGCAACGGCTTGGAAATCAACCCGTTCGAATACCTGACAAAGCCCTTTGATATTTGGAGTTGGTTGTGCTTGGCTATGGTGGCGGTGACGTTGAAAATTATGGCGTGTGTTTTTCCCGGTAGGTGCCGCATCGATGCGTATTACTTGTTTGGTTTGGAATCTTTGTCCTGGGAAAAGCTTTCCTCGTTGGAGAAGTCCCTTCTCACGACGCTTATGGTAACACTGCTGATATTGTACAGCAGCTACGAGACATTGGTGATTTCACTTCTTTCGACCAAGCAGTACGTGAAAGATTTGAAATCTGTAAGGGAATATTTAAACAGTGAGACCTTACTTGTAGTATACCCAAACGACGCCGAATATTTATCGGAAATATTTCCGGAGCTATCGCAACGCCTACTGCACCACGTCCCTTTCAATGCCAAGTATAGCAGACCATTTCTATCGTTCATGTCGCCTTGCAAGGATGTCGACGGAAAGCTAGCTGCAGTGCATAATTTACAACTTGACCTATACCTGCTATCGGAAAAAGTTTGGTTTCAATTGAACGTCCTTTTGTTCCATAAATACAGTCCTTTCAGTCGCTCTGTTCGGCAGTATTTTGTGCGATTAACCGAAAATGGAATTCGTGATCATATGAGAAGGACGTTGCTTTTTTTGATGCTTCTGATTCATGGCCTAGATCCGGATCGTTCCGAACGTCGAAAGCTTGTTCAGAACAGATATACGAGTGATTGTTTTACCGTGAAGCAGCTGCTACCGGTGTGGATCGAACTGGGAATCGGATTGTTGGTTAGCTTTGTTTGCTTTGTATCGGAGTTGATGTACTTCATGCTCCGTAAGAGGAAGGCGAATGGCACAGCTCACAGTTCTACAGTTCACGGTTCAAAACCAAATAATTTCGTGGGCTTCGTGGTTGTGCCATGAAGTGAGGGTTTAATTCCCGCACCAGCCCGTGGAACTTTTCGTAACAGGAAATTTCCCTACTGGTCTCTGCTGGGTGTGGTGTGTTGTCCGTGGCCTAGTTTTATGTGTTCAGTGTAACCTCTGGTTGAAGACGATGTCAATTGCTTTTATAATTGTTATATGTACGTACAATTTGCTGATTAAATCAAAATAAATTATCAATACAATCAATTGAGAATGGAAAATTTGTCCGAAATTCTAATACAATCATATGTAGAACTGTAAGGTAACTCTAAGACCAGAAGATCTCGAAGAAACATGCACAACTTTTTGGCTCAGCTCTGGTACCCTTTTCGGTCCCAAGCTAATCGATGCACCTCGAAACATAGGAAAATCCATGAACCCCTCATTAATAGCGAATCAAAACAAACATACTGTAGTACTACAATTTAGACTAGAATGGGATACGTTAACCTATTTACTTGGGACTGATAAGCTAGTCCAGTGTGAGCCAATTTAAAACCGTTGGTTTCCACCGGTTGGTTCTACTTCATCGGAGATGATCGAGATCAACACGGTGGCTTCCTTATTTATTATATATACGAGCTGTCATTTGGATGAACACGTTCATCTCTTGTACGCGGTGATAACAACAATCAATACGAAACTAACTATTTTAAATTGGCTCACCACTTTAGTAGCCTATTGGTCCCAAGCAAACGATTAACGTACCCTATTCTAGTCGAAATTCTAGTACTACGCAATGTTTGTTTTGATTCGCTATGAAAGTTTGACAGATAAAATGAGGGGTTATTGGTTTTTCCTATGTTTCGAGGGGTGAATCGATTAGCTTGGGACCGAAGAGAGTACCAGAGCTGAGCCAAAAAGTTGAGCACGTTATTTCGGGACCTTCTAGTCTTAGAGTTACCTCTACGGTGATAATAGGATGCTACACACTGACGACACGAATGAACGCCAGGAACACGCATTCATCTGTTTGACATCCAGTGGTGGTTTGTTTACTTTTGCCTGTTAGTCGATTCAAGAGGATTTTAATTTTAAAATTAAAAGAACTTAATAATGAGAGAGAGAAGGATTAGTATTTTCCATTTAATTCCACTACTTTATTTGCTTATCCTTGACAGATACGCGTATTTCGTCTACAATGTGCAGACTTCTTCAGTGTCTTGTACTAATACTCGACAAATACTTAGTACAAGACACTGAAGAAGTCTGCACATTGTAGACGAAATACGCGTATCTGTCAAGGATAAGCAAATAAAGTAGTGGAATTAAATGGAAAATACTAATCCTTCTCTCTTTTATTATACAGGTATTCCACTAAGACGCCCACATTCATCAGGATAAAAGAACTTAAAATTATGTTATCCAGCCATGTTTTTTTTTTAATATTCCTCTCTAAAAAATCTGAAAAAAATATTTAATAGCACAACCCGCGCTTTACCTCTCTTTTCTGAACGAGTTCAAACAAAAAATGGAATATTCCAGTCAAAGATGACTTCTAAATGTATTCACCTTTCCATACGTATCGTTGGATTTGATAAAGAGTCACAAATTGTTGAGATATTGTTCAAAATCTAATACTGCTTCTTGATTCTAAATTCGTTCTACGATTTTCAATTCCGTCCAAACGCATTGAAACAAACGCCATTAGATTTTCTTCGTCCTACGGATAAACGTAGAAAAAGGGAATTCGCTAGGAGTGCTGCTTTTGTTTTGAGAACAATGAGCTTAATAATTCATACAGTGCGCTCTAATGGGATTTATGTTGTAGCTAATGAATTAACGCATCAAAACAAACCTGTTATTGATTTCTGCATGGTGAAATCATTGATGTTATTGATGTTTTCTGATCGATAGAACGGAAATAGGCGATTACGACGAAGTAGCGCTCTACCCTAAACCAACCACAACCAGATGTCAAAAAATGAGGATATGGAAATGCCTCGACAGGCAAGAGCCAGGGGAGGGGTGTGGCTGTCAAATACGAACAATCGTCGCCTACCTCGTATAACTGGTTCCAAACGTAAACAATCCATAAGAAACCTACATGGTTTGTTTAATTTTCGAACCAATTTCAAACAAGAATGATCAGTAGGCTGATTTGACAGCACGTCCCCCTGCAGATAGGTACGTACATACATGCATCGAGGCGAAGATAAACAAACACAACAGGAAAAGAAAACTAGCCGGCGCCGGTGGCACAGTGGTAAGCGTGACTGCTTTCTCACCCCAATGGGTCTGGATTCAATCCCAGCCGAGGCTGGTGGGATTTTTCTGAGACATAAAAATCTCTGGTAACGTCTTCCTTCGGAAGGGAAGCAAAGCTGTTGGTCCTGGAACATGTGTATTTGAATGGGTGCGATATCCTACGCAGGAGTGGAAGCTGCCTTCCTGCACATTCCATTGCCGTCAATGGATGGCAATTCTAGCTGGAGCTGGAATTATGGCGTAACAGATTTTGTAAACAATAACTTCTTCTCTCGTTGATTTCAAGCAACTCAAGGCACGCCTACACTAACCAACATATCCATTGGGTAGAGGAACTCTTCCCATATTCGATGATAATGGTGATTTGCCAGGGAGAGTAATGTCTATGGAGAAATCATCGAGAGAAGTCATTGTTTACAAAAGCTGTTACGCCCTAATTCCAGCTCTATCTAGAATTGATGTCCGTCGGTTATTGGCAATAATTTATTTATTTATTTATTTATTAATTTATTTATTTATTTATTTATTTATTTATTTATTTATTAATTTATTTATTTATTAATTTATTTATTTATTTATTTATGTATTTATTTATTTATTTATTTATTTATTTATTTATTTATTTATTTATTTATTTATTTATTTATTTATTTATTTATTTATTTATTTATTTATTAATTTATTTATTTATTAATTTATTTATTTATTTATTTATTTATTTATTTATTTATTTATTTATTTATTTATTTATTTATTTATTTATTTATTTATTTATTTATTTATTTATTTATTTATTTATTTATTTATTTATTTATTTATTTATTTATTTATTTATTTATTTATTTATTTATTTATTTATTTATTTATTTATTTATTTATTTATTTATTTATTTATTTATTTATTTATTTATTTATTTATTTATTTATTTATTTATTTATTTATTTATTTATTTATTTATTTATTTATTTATTTATTTATTTATTTATTTATTTATTTATTTATTTATTTATTTATTTATTTATTTATTTATTTATTTATTTATTTATTTATTTATTTATTTATTTATTTATTTATTTATTTATTTATTTATTTATTTATTTATTTATTTATTTATTTATTTATTTTTTTATTTTTTTATTTATTTATTTATTTATTAATTTATTTATTTATTTATTTATTTATTTATTTATTTATTTATTTATTTATTTATTTATTTATTTATTTGTTTATTTTTTTATTTAGTGATATATTTATTTAGTTATATATTTATTTATTTACTTTTTAACTTTTTTATTTATTAATTTATTTATTTATTTATTTATTTATTTCTTTACTTTTTTATTTGCCTTCTTACTTACCTACTTACTTTATTTATTTATTTATTTATTTATTTATTTATTTATTTATTGATTTATTCATTTATTAATTTATTTATTTATATTTATTATATTTTTCTTTGTTTATTTATTTATTTATTTATTGATTTATTTATTTCTTTATATATTTATTTTTTAAAAAATTTATTTATTTGTTTCGTTTTTTATAAATTAATTAATTTAATTATTTATTTCTTTATATAATTATTTATTTATTTATTTATTTATTAATTAATTAATTTATTTATTTATT